ATATACATGTATATATATATATTCATTTCATATTCATTTTGTATTACCAACATTATCTTATCGTAATTTGATTAGTTAATAATTCCGACAAAATTTTCAATGAGTAATTTTTCCGTTTCACGAACAAAGATCTGGCAATAATTGCACATCTCTATATGTACACTACGAGAATAACAGCGTAGTTAAATAGACTTAAACATATTCAAAACACAGATTCTGCAGAACGAGAAAGATGAGTAGGATGAGAAGGACTACGTTCTAACCTTTTACGAGGTAGCTTTTCGAGTGTAGTTAACAGTTTTGCAAAGTCAGGTCGATTTTCGGGATGGTATGACCAACAAAACATCAAGATATCCTAAAAATAAAAATATAATGTATATTAATATATATTTATGTATATATTTTTTTCATTTAGATATATAGGATGTCTTGCAATTGATGATGTATACTGTTTACTTGTACCATTACTTAAAAAACACTCTGTATATTTGCATGAAATTTGACTTATGTTAAATCTTACCTTAACATCACGAGAAGCTTGCAAATTAGCCAAAGGTTGCTTCATTCCTTTACCTACTTGCCAAATAATAGCTTCAGGAGGTTGACCTTTAAATGGCCATTCACCACATAAAAGTTCATACCACACGGTTCTGAAATAAATCAGAAATGTCATTAAATTTACGTAAATAATATTTACAAACCAAGGATAAAAAATGTGTACATGAGTACAAACCCAAATGCATAAACGTCAGAAGCATCTGTAAATGGTAACTCTTCTTGATCTCGAGTTTGTTGTGGTTTTAATCGTCGTACAATTTCAGGAGCCAAATAACACAACCAACCCGGTGGTATACTTAATCCATTACCTTTCCTATATTAAATATAAAATTATTATTAATACTAAAAGTACATGAGCATTTATAAACAAAATATATTTAATTTTACTCACCTATTACCATAACAGAGTTTAGTAACACTGAACAGACCAAAATCAGTTATTACTACTTTCCCATTTTCTAAAAATATGTTTTTGCTTTTCAAATCCTTGTGAACTATACCACGGGCATGAAGATATCCCATTCCCTACGTATATATAATCAATATTAAAAGATATTTTATATAGATTATATTAAATTGATATAATATTATTATTTAATATTTTACACACATACCTGAGAAATCTGTTGAGCGATAACAGTGGTTTTATTCATACTGAATTTATCTTTTCGTAAATGAATATGAGTGTAAAGTGTCATGCCTTTGCTCATACTAGTTACTATGGCTAAACATGGGGGTTTCATACAAGCACCCATAAATAAAACCAAATTTTCGTGTCTAGTCTTTCGGAATGTAGCCACCTATAAAGATGATGCACTCGTAAACAATGACGTAGCTTTACTTAATTGATTCGTAATTCAATACTACATCATAATCAAAGTCTCATACTTCTAATTTGAAGGCTTCTAATGTTTTATCGTCATCAAGATAATAGTCCATATTTAAAACTTTAATCGCAACATCTCCATGCCAGTTTCCTCTGTAAACTGTTCCAAATCTTCCAATACCTATAGGTTCTCCAATTTTTAATTCATCATATGGAATGTCCCATTCCCTTATAGATAACTGTAAATACATAAAATAATTTTAAATTTAAGTATATTACTTGTTTTCTTTTATTTATTAATTTTTTTTAGTTAAAAAAATTAATATATCATAATTAATATAATATAAATAATTTACGTACACTATTTTGACGAGGCCAACGACTATCTCCTGGTTCCCCATCAGAAACCTGAGAATCTTGGGAATCTACTCTGACTGGTGTACGCTCTGAATCAGTGCTAACGCTGCCAGAATTGGAAACACTTACTGTCCTCTCACTATCACTTGTATTTTCAATACGATGCGTTTCCAATGTAACACCTTTATCATTCAGTACAACATCTACAAAGATATCATCTGAAATATTTGATATACTTGATGTATAAGAAAAGGTATATTACCTGGAAAATGGAACTGTTGCTTCATAGGTGCTTGCGGAGTTTGGCTAGTATTGGCAGGTAATAAAGCTGGACTAGAAGGTGTTGAGCTATTACAGCTCGAGGTATTCGAACTAGAATCAGCACCCTAGATATATAAAAACATTGAAATAGGATCAAAACAATTTTTCAGTTAAATAAAATAAAAAGTCAAATAACAATGGTATACCGGAAAAGGTATATTCATAGAAGAATGAGGGTGTGACCGCTTTCGATCTCTTCGATTCAACGAAGCCAATAAATTAGAACTATGATGATTAGGGGATGTTATACTTGGTTTGTTTAATATTGGAGATACATTAACCATACCTAATAATAGCAATATTATTATTATTATAAATTAAATAATTATTACTATTATAGAGTAAAATTATAAATATTAGGATTCATACCATCACCCTGAACAGATCTTTTGAACTCATCAAAAAGTTCTTGAGGTAGGCCACAAGAGGGAGGTACTTTAGATTCGCAGTCTCTATGACATTTATATTTACATTCTTTGCATTTCAAGCCAGTTCCTATAAACATTTGTTTGTCACAATAGTCGCAAGTAGTCATCATTTTAAATGTTTTAGTGAAACGATGAGCGATAAAATGACCCATCCCACGTGTTACAGTTGGAGTACGTGGCGATTTTGGCACTTGCAAACTTGTTATTACTAAAATATATATTATTAATGTTTATTAGTATAAATCATTATTTTTTGCTGAATATTTAGCAATATATTCTTTCTTGGTTTATTACCATTACCAGTTCCTTTAAAACTGTTATCATCACTATCTGCACTGGAATATGGAGGTGATTTGATAGGACTGTTACTATTTGGTAAAAAGTATTCCGTCATGATATCTGCATTGCTACTACATGACCCTGTTTCTGTAAGTAAACGATTTCTTCTTCCTACAGAACTAACATGATGATCGCCTGCACAACTGTAAGAAGAATAACATATATTCTATATATTATATTTAAGCTTTATATAAAATTGATTAAATTATATTTAATATGATTTAAACATTACCTAGAAGCTGTGTCTCCATTTTCAAGACGGTTTGCTAACTGTGACTCATGAGATTTTGACTTAGTTAATGGAAACACTTCCGGCTGTGATATAGTATTTTGTAAACCAATTTGATGTTTTTTACAAGGAGGTGGAGTTGTAGGAAATTTGATCGCTATTACAAAAAAGATAAATTAAAATTATATATATAAAAAAAAAAAAGAAGATAAATATAGTCATATAAAAATACATACTATGCCCTTGTCTTTGTAATAATGGTGTAGAAGGTGGACTAGTAGATGATAAAGACGTTATAGAAGAAGCTTGTGCTAGCATATCGCTAGTGAGATTATTATTATTATTGTGATATGGAATACTATCTTCTGAGGGAACAGAACATCTTGTAATACGAGATCGAATAAGTCTAGGAGATGCGCCAGAACGTAAGTGATGCCTATCCCAAGAGTCCCAATACAAATTCATATCACTGTTTTCCACATCTCCTCTTAAGAGTGCATCTGAACAGAATATACATTATAATGTAGCAACGATAATTTTTATAATAAATATTTATACTAATCCCTTGCACTATGATTTAATGTATCGAGCTGTGTGCCTTATTTAGTACTATATTTTATGCTTCTTATATTCGACTCATAAGATTTGCTACGAGTAGGACTCGTGTTTCTTATGTTTGGACTATAAAGTATATCCCGAGCCTCACATGTTGTTATAGGGCAAGAGATTAAATATAGTATTTAAAAAAAAATAATTAAATCTCTTACCCATATATCTGCGAAGATTATGTAATGCTCTACAAAGTCTACGAAGTTCTTCCTTATGTCTAACATTATTTTCGCCTAGAATAGTATCCAATTCATGTTCTGATTTTTCTTTCAACGCTTCAAGAGAATTAGCTTTAGAACAAACCACCTACAAACAAATGTTACATATTTTATTTACTTGAAGATAATAAAACATAAAGGATATTAAGAATAAATTTTTGTTGAATACCTTACTGGTCTGCGTTTAAAAATTCAAGCTAAACATGCTTATGTTGAATTTATTTAACAAATAGATAAAAGTATATGTAATTATCAATTAATAATATACATACTTGAATAGATTCTTGTGTGAGACCCACTACACGTAACCACTGTTGCAAGGATGGATACTGTCTCATTTCTGCTGGTAATGATTCTACAGCAAGTTTGGCTTTAGTCACCAGTTGCTTTGAATATAACTTAATCAATTTTCCCTAAAACATATGTATAAATTGTAAAAAAAAAAAGGAAAAGAAAAGAAAATAAAATAGTCCTCTTTAAGACAAAACTAAATCAATTTATAAAATAACTTTTTCTAAAAAAAATAACATCTTATGACAACCAAGTGTTTGAATAAAAATAAGAAGAAGTTAACTATAACAAATGTTCATTTTCATATTTCTTAAAGTTTCAATAAAACAAGAGAAAAGATCTAAGCATAATGTCAATAATAAAAAGTATTTAAAAATTTGTTGACAATCATAATATATTGAAGCAAGACGTCAAAGAGAAAATGAACAAGTACATCAAATCACATCACATCATATCACATCTTCAATAAGAAAATAAAAGAAAAGAAAATGAGGAGAGTTAAAAAAAAAAGGAAAAACAAGAAAATGAATAAAAAATAAAAGATTACCTCCAAGGTTCGAATTTCTTGTTGAGTGAGTTCAGCGCTGGTCGAACATTGAGTTCTTAAACCTTCCAGTCGATCAGCAGAAATGTCAATCATGGATTGAACGACGTCCAAGGCTCGTCGAGTCTCTTGTTCCGCATCTTCACCGTCCGCCATCCCTCGCAGAAAATGCGAAGGCCCCTGGTGTCTTCGTCA